ACAGTCGCCATCGCCAAAATCGATCATGTCAAAGAGAAAACGTCCGAGAGTCACGGAGATGCGACTAAATTAAAAGCCAAAGAGGCTCCAGAGCATATCAACCATAAGAAAATGTGTGAGCACTCGTTTTCTCTTTTTTGAAATGTTTTAAAAATTCCCTTTTCAGTCACTGAAAACTTCAAGAAACGTAGAGCAGAACATAAAGCAGCTATCGAATCGATCAAAGGAATCGGAAAAGACAAAACGAGGCTGTTTTTGGAAGATGTGAGAAATCTTTTCTCCTTGGACTACTTCAAATTGAAAATGTTTAGCTCCTGAAAAACATCAAAAACTTGCTGAACGAGTCCCGAGAGACAATCGAACGGATTGCCCATCTCGCCGAATCGCCGTTCCCTCATGACAGCGATTTATTGAAAGATGCGTTTTCGAAGGTTAGCAACGTCTTCTGAATTTCCAAAAAAATCTCAAAATCAAAATTTCAGCTCCATGAGAACACTGCTCTCTTCACTGATCTCTCATTGGCTTTTTCGAAATTCTTCAAGACAAAAGTGCAAAAAGATAGAAAATTGAAGACGTTGCTGGTTTGGGCATACAATTATTCCATCAAAACTGGAGTTTTTGATGTGGATACCGAGAAGAAAGTGAACTTGATGGCACAGCAGCATGAGCTGATTGAGAAGGATCAGAAGTAAGATTTTCAGGGTTTACAGATAGAAATTCTGATGATTTTTACAATTTTTTGATAATTTTCATTGTTTTTATGCTTTTTCTTGAGATTTTTTCGTTTTTAGCGATAAAAAAAGCTAAAAATTATTAAAATTCATCGAAAAATCTGAATTTTTTGAAAACGATTTTCCGGATTTTTGGTGAAAAAATTTAATTTTTTCGATTAATTTCATCGATTTTGAACTCTTTTTTCATCAAAAATCCGACAAATCGCAAAAATCGCATGAAAACAGCAAAAATTATCGAAAAATCGCGAAAAATAGGCCAGAAAATATACAACCTAAGCAAAAAAATCTTTATCTTCATCCCTGATTGAGGAATGAACATAATGCAATTAGTAGAGATTCGAAAAATAAGTTAAAATACTTTTATCTCATTATAGTGAAGTGAAAGGTGATTCAACAACAAACAACCAGATAAAACCGAGATATTATGCTTGTCTGAGAAAAAAAAAGGTTAGAGAGTATTTTTTGCAGTCTGAATACGGTAGCGATATCGAAGCGGAGAGCCTAAATAGCACACATAAGGTGGAGACACAGACACTTTTTCTCTGCGTCTCAACCTTTTTTTTCTCAGACAAGGATAATAAACTGAAGGAAAAAAGTCATTAAAGCCTCATGAGATGACAAAGGTGGGATACTTTAAGTTTTAAACAAGAAAAACATTTTAAACTTCGAAAAACCCTAGTTTCTTGGACGAATTCTACATAAAAAATAATTCCTGTTGAAAACGAGAGAGGAGAGAGCGCTAGAGAAATGGACATTTCGAAGGCGCATTTCTCGTGCGGGAGGCCGTGATGCTCCTTTAAAGGTGGTGTACGGTGAAATTTTTTATTGCATCAAAATGTG